CCACCCGGGGGGGGACAGCTGTGGAGGGACCGCCGTGGGAGGGACCGCCGTGGGGTAGAAGGGCTCTCGTCCAGTCCCGTTGTGGCACCCCAGCAGGAGCAAGGATGGTGTCTCCTGGAGGAGCACAAGCCACACGGGACAGTGACTAGAAGATGTCGCGTGGAGAGGCTCCGTGACACCTGAGCACAGAGCGAAGCCTCCCACCCAAAGGAGTCATCGGACGAGCTGTCGCCGCGGACGGGCAGAGCTGAGTCACGTCTGCGCCGAGCAGCGCTGGTCGGACTCGTGGCGACAGGCCCCAAGGCAGGCACGTGCACGGCGGTTAAGAAACAGACGAGGAAGCGCCAGGGACAGGTGACAGCGCTTGAAACTGACCAAGGACAGGCAGGACGTCCACACGAGAACGCATACAGCGAGTTCACGACGCACAGAATCCGGAAGATGGAGAAAGGTCTCGAAGCGTAAAAGAGGCGCACAGTGGGGACGTGGAAAGAAACGGCGCAGGCGAGGCTGCGGCGCGGGGGCGATACCTAAAGGGTGTGCTGCAGACCTTCCCGAACCGACGGTCCCCGAATCTCCGACCCACCAAGGCAGGGCAAGGAGAGCGAGATCCTGCCCAGACACACGCGGCCGGGGAACACCAGGGGCCAGGAGAGCGCTCTCTTCTCGAGGGGAAGACGCAGTGGACGGCACTGGGCTGGCCGGCTCTCGGAGCTCGAGCAGGTCTGGGCTAGGTCGGGCCCCACCAGGTGGAAGGGAAGAGCAGGGTCCCAGAAATGGCCCCTCGGTGGGGCCTGACTCCCAAGGGCACACTTTCCCGATGTTAATTGCGAGCGGCATGACCGAGTGCAGCGTTCTCCACGGGAGCCCGGCCCCGGCCCGCACTGACCCAGCGCAGCGTTCTCCACAGGGGACGGCACGCAGCAGTGCAGAGCAGGCTCCCACTGTCCATTAAAACAGCATCGGGCAGTGGGCAGGAAATGACCTGGGCCAGAGAACCGTCGGGGAGCTGCTGCTCCGTTAGCAGCCATGGAGGCCAGGAGAGAAGGGCTGCCGTGCAGGACGGGGCGACTGGCAATGGCACGTGGGAGGCGACAGGGCCCCAAACGTCGCAGACCACCCAGACAGCTGGCGGCCATCCCTTGGGCTGAGGGCAAGCAGCCCAGGTGGGGACTCAGACTGCCGGGAAGGAGGATGAGAAACGGGATATCTTGAATAAATTCAATGTTTCTCTTCCTGCCGTTCACCCCTTCACTTCAGCATAAACTGTTTCAAAGGAAACCGTCCCGGCGTGTCACGGGTCTACGGCGTGTGCCGCTGCGTGTGTGTGACAGTTATAAACGGGTAGAGGAGACGTGGTGCGTCCAGTGCCGTACCTGAGAAACACACCTGCCGAAGGCTGCGCGTGCGTGCCGTGACACCTGGAGTAAGCGTGCAGGGGACACCGCTGCCATCGGGTGCTCCCGTGCATAGACGCCCGTGGAGGAGCAGGGGCCTCGGGGCTGGCCAGTGGCAGAAGGGCGTGGATGACAGAGATGACAGACACGCAGGGAGAGGTGAAGCTGGCGCATGAAACATTAAATTAGTGCAAACCAAGGCATTCAACGAGGAAAACAAAGACCACGTGGGAAGTGCAGGCAGTGCCACGAGGCAGCCGGTCACCGAGTCAGCAATCGCGCTGGGCACGGGCGGTCTGCGCCACCAGAGTGGCCGTGGTTAACCCACACACGAAAGTGACAGCCAGAGGACCCGTGCACGGAGGCCTCCCTTTAGACAGAAGCACACAGAGGGGGCCCCATGGGGCTGAGTCGGGAGCACAGGGAGCCCGCGTTGTCACGTCGCGCCCCGGACCCCGAACTCCTGTCGTGCCCTCTGTGTATTCCAGGTGGGGCTGTCCCACACCCAAGGCAGGAAGGCGGCGGCTGCAAAGTGACGAGGAAGTGGCTGCGGTCGATGGACTCTCGGCGCCCACGCGCTGTGAGCAGGGCGGTCCGTGCCGCTCCAGCGCCCTGTGGCTCTCGACAAGGCGAGGCGAGCGCGTCGTCCTCCCAGCAGCTGCCGGCTCTGAGAAAGGCCAACGCAGGACTGCACCAAGTCGGCCAGGACCGGAGCCTGGCACCACGGTGGGTGGTGCTGGACAGGCACCGCCGGCGGGCGGTGCTGGAGCAGGTGGGCCTCTCCGGAGAGCCAGGGCTCAGTTTCCGCATAGTCCCAGGAGCCAGGGACAGCCAGGGTGGCAGTGCAATGCCCAGGTAACCTGGCCGTGCCAGCCAGGAGCAGGGCAGGGTGCCTGGCCTCTCTGTCGTGGAGACTGGACCGGAGGAGGGTGGGTGCCCAGAGCTGCCCCAGCGTTGCCCTTCTGTGGGGCCTCTCGGCAGAGGTCACGGCCCACCTGTCTCTGGGTCTGTGACTGAAGCTGTCACCGTGTGATGGCGAGGAGGGAAGCCAAGAGACCCACCCGTCAGGAGGGCAGCGGTGACGGCGCCGTCGGAGGGTGGGGCTCCGTGGGTCACGTGGGCCCTCAGACACCCAAGGGGTGCCTGGCTGAGCCCTTCCCAGGGTGAGATGTGCGTAGGGCGTGGCCAGGATGGCGAGGGTGGGGGTGGGCTCCCCGGAGAGCGCCCAGGACAGGCAACCTGACACGGAGATGTGCCAGGGCAGTGGCTCACAGGCACAGCCATGTCCCGGGTGACAGCCACAGCCCAGGGCTCAGAGGCAGGGGAGCCATGACTGCGTCCAGGCCAAGGGCGGGCGTGCACAAACTCTGGAGCTGGAGGCGGTGAGCCCGGACTTCTGGTGACCACGTGGCATCCTGAGTCTGCCCTGCCCTTCCCGGAGCGACCACGGTCCCTGGTTGTCCTGGACCCTTGGGGACGGGGGCCGCCCATGCCGAGGTCACTGTCCCCATCTAGCCGGCTTTGCAGTGCACAGCACAGACATACCCACATGCTTTACCGAGGGCCCCTCCGAGAAGGTCGCGACGCCCCCGCCAGCCATCCTGCGGGAGGCCAGAGCAAGGGATGAGGAGGGTGAGGCGAGCCTGGGCGATGGCGCCCGGGGCACAGCACGCAGCCCTCGGGGACAAGCAGGGAGGACCAGGGCCTGTGGCCCTGATGGGAAATGACCATGTCTCGTGGAGGGCTCTGGTCTCACGCAGCACAGCAGG